AATTATCCTGATTCAAAGGGTAGTGCATATATAGTTACAGTAAAATTGTCGCCTGATGTGATTGTCCAAATGTTTTTGTTTCCGACAGGCTTTTAGATCTTTTAGGTCTACTATATATTAATTTTTAGTTTAAGTTCTTTTTAGACAATGAAGAATGTTAAATTCCTCCCTCACATATCAAACCTATTATTAATCGGTATATTGGATAAGTGGCAAGAGGAGTGGAAGGACTTATTTAGTAAGCTTATGCCTAAAAAGATTTTGGATTTTTTTTTTTTAATCATATGTTAATTAAAAAAAACTTGTGTTTGTTAGCTTGGTTTTATTATATGTATATGATATTTGTATTTTTGTAATTGCATTTTTGCCACGAAAATAGCCTTAGATGCTGAAATGGCATTAAATAAAACTATCTCTCTTTCAGACAAAGAATATGCTACACTAGAATAGTCCAAAATACACAAAAGCCTTATGGGCTGCGTTGCAGAAATAATTTTCTTACTCAGTATTTTTGGCTTGATTTTTAGTATCCTGAAAAAAGGATACAATTAGCTTATGAAGCAAAATGACATTAGACATGACATCTTCAATGTCAGCTAACTAAATTTAGTGAGGTTTATGCACAAAACAAGGAGGGCAATTTTAATTAGGTTTAGAAACATTTTCAATAGAGAGCAAGCTTATTTATTAACATATTTTTTTCTCCCCCCCCCCGCACCCCCCCCTTTCTAAAATAAAATACTAAATAAGTATTAATTTTGTTAGATTTTTCTGTGGGGGAAACACAATATATAATCTTCACATAAATATAAGCGTCACATGGCTGTCAAGTTGAAAAATGTGGGTTTAAATCTTTATAATCTTTTGTTATTATCATGCATTTTATGGGTCATGATTTAATGCATATATATATATATATATATATATACACACTCACCGGCCACTTTATTAGGTACACCTGTCCAACTGCTCGTTAACACTTAATTTCTAAGCAGCCAATCACATGGCGGCAACTCAGTGCATTTAGGCATGTAGACATGGTCAAGACAATCTCCTGCAGTTCAAACCGAGCATCAGTATGGGGAAGAAAGTTGATTTGAGTGACTTTGAACGTGGCATGATTGTTGGTGCCAGAAGGGCTGGTCTGAGTATTTCAGAAACTGCTAATCTACTGGGATTTTCACGCACAACCATCTCTAGGGTTTACAGAGAATGGTCCGAAAAAGAAAAAACATCCAGTGAGCGGCAGTTCTGTGGGCGGAAATGCCTTGTTGATGCCAGAGGTCAGAGGAGAATGGCCAGACTGGTTCGAGCTGATAGAAGGGCAACAGTGACTGAAATAACCACTCGTTACAACCGAGGTATGCAGCAAAGCATTTGTGAAGCCACAACACGCACAACCTTGAGGCGGATGGGCTACAACAGCAGAAGACTCCACCGGGTACCACTCATCTCCACTACAAATAGGAAAAAGAGGCTACAATTTGCAAGAGCTCACCAAAATTGAACAGTTGAAGACTGGAAAGTCTCGATTTCTGTTGAGACATTCAGATGTTAGAGTCAGAATTTGGCGTAAACAGAATGAGAACATGGAACCATCATGCCTTGTTACCACTGTGCAGGCTGGTGGTGGTGGTGTAATGGTGTGGGGGATGTTTTCCTGGCACACTTTAGGCCCCTTAGTGCCAATTGGGCATCGTTTAAATGCCACGGCCTACCTGAGGATTGTTTCTGACCATGTCCATCCCTTTATGGCCACCATGTACCCATCCTCTGATGGCTACTTCCACCATGTCACAAAGCTCTAATCATTTCAAATTGGTTTCTTGAACATGACAATGAGTTCACTGTACTAAAATGGCCTCCACAGTCACCAGATCTCAACCCAATAGAGCATCTTTGGGATGTGGTGGAACGGGAGATTCGCATCATGGATGTGCAGCCGACAAATCTGCGGCAACTATGTGATGCCATCATGTCAATATGGACCAAAGTCCCTGAGGAATGCTTCCAGCACCTTGTTGAATCTATGCCACGAAGAATTGAGGCAGTTCTGAAGGCAAAAGGGGGTCCAACCCGTTACTAGCATGGGGTACCTAATAAAGTGGCCGGTGAGTGTATATATATATATATTGCCATAATTTAAATGTAAAAGCTCAAAGCTGTAAGTACTGCACAATTGAGGACAGTTTAACATATTTGTTTTTCAAGAGTTAAGTTAGCCGACATTACATTATGAAGCTTTATATCAAAGCTAAAGAGATCTCAAATCCACTGCGGAGTTGGTAGGTGTAGTCCAAAGCTCAGTTGCAGGCTTATGTTTTATAAATGAGGTACAATGCATTTGTTTCTCAGCACTGGACAAGGCTTCCCCCCAGAGAAGGCTGCCTGCATGGTCATACATCATAAAGAAGCCAAAATCATCTTAAAGTTACACCACGCCTCCTGCCTCAGACTCCACCCCCCTACAATACACTTCATTGAAAAGTTAGTGACGCTCTCAAGTAGCAGGTGACTTCAGGTAACAATAACCCGACCGTCCAGGCATGCCACTTTATATTTAAAGTGTCTGAAGCTGAGACTCGTCTGTAGAGTTCAGGAAGTACCTCCAGCCAATAATTATATGTCATTTTAGGAAGTATAAAGGGCAGTTTGAGATTTTGAGGTGGTCCAGGTGTAGTAGTAATGGGGCAAAGCTGTTAATGGTGACGTCTGTTCGATTTAGCAGGTCTGCACCTTTTTGGCCTGTTCCATCCATTTAGAATCACTAATACCTTGAACTATGTGGTGAAATTATATAAATGCTCATTGATTCAGACCTTGGATATCTGAATTATTATAATGATCATGAAACGGTCCTGTAATAAATATGTTTTAGGGCTATAAAGCAGGGTGTAAATGAGAGGCAGATGTTGAAATGCAGAGTTGGAAAGACGAGTCACATCTGCACACGTGCGGATGCCAAGTATCTCTCCATGTAGATGAACGCTGCATCACTGCAGACAGATGTGTTGGGTATTTCTGAGCTATACGAAAGGCACGCATAATCGCTCGAGGCTTTTCCGCCGTCGTACCTTGTTTGGCAGGAAAACCTCTTCTACATTAAATGATGTGTACAGTGAGTTTTTTAAGGTGCTCAGGGGGATCGTATTTGTGTCTGCAGAATATCCTAGAACTTTCTTGAAGCTCAGTCTGACTCTAGAGGTCAAACTGAGGATTTTTTAGGAAAAATATGTATGCATTAAAGTGAGACTACATGACTATATGGTAACTATAAAGTAATAGGTGGCTATAAAGATGCAGCATTACTACAATTCTAAGCTCTAGGTGCAAGTGTTTTTTAATAGTTTTTTAGCCTATTTTTAAATCTGATCTTAAAAATGTCAGCTTAGGCTAATTCAAAAGCCGTTAGTTGTGTAGTGATGTTTGCAAATAAAACTATAATTTTACTGTAAGTCATGCTTGTTATTTTTCATTTATATTATAATTTAAGATTAATTGATAACCCTTTTTTTATGAGTACTTGAATTACAAAATTACTCCAAATGCCCAGCCCTACCATAAAAGGGCTGTTTTTTCATAAATAGTTTTTTGTTCTTCTTAGACACTTGGTATTGATCGGTGATGTCATTTACCTAATAAAATTAATACAGAGAATGATGCCTTTCTGCATGACTCATGCTTTGCAATTACTTATGCACTAATTCTATCAGGTTCTCCGTATAGGTCTGTATGAATGGAAAAGACATGGAGCGTAAGGCTTTTGGCCAGAATTGTCTTAGGCCTTGTGCAATGTTTGTGTCAATGTAAGGTTTTAAAGGACCAAGGCGCTTAGTTCGTCTGCGTCTTTTCCTCTGTAACACACAACATAAAGGCTCAAACAACATAAGGCTCACTATGGGTTTCAAGTGTCTCAGCATCTCAATAATTTAACTGGTTTAATAGAATTAACCTAGATGAGGTGTTGCATACCTGATGTGTGGTGCTGCCATATTACAAAGGGTGAAGGATGTTTGAGACAGAACTAACATGTATGTTTGTGATATCAAAAATGGCACGATTTACTTTCTCAACACACATTTATGTTTATGTTGTGCACAATTTCATTGTTTATCTTTGTAATCAATCATCAAAATGTAATAACTTGCTCTGCCTGATGGATAAAAGTCTTATTGTTTTATTTGTTTTTGCACATGGAAATAAAAAAATGTGTTGCAAATTATTCTGTTTTATGTAGACTATAATAGACAAAAGTTATCCCTGTATTTTTATAGTGTTTATACAAACATATTTATAGTACTACTAAATTAAGGCCTTTTTGTTTTTCTACATTTTTATTTCATTTCTTGTTAAAGAGAAAAACGATTCGACCTTGTTTCCAGGTGAAATATTCGTAAAGGTGTTGGAAATGATTTGATTTCATCAGGAATTGGTTGGAAATAAATTTCATCAAAATGCAAACCTATTGAGAATCAGAAACTTTCAAAAACACAACCCCCGACCCCAAGATTTTGAAAAGCATGTATAAATCTTCCCTCTATCACCATATAGTTTTCAAGTCTCTGTTCATCACCACAGACATTTAAATTAATTGATTCTGTGATATGGATGGACTGATTACTGATTAGCATCAGCCTTTGGCAGAACAAATTCTCTTTGTTCCATTTTTCTGAAAATATTCTTTGCCGCAGTGTAAAACGAGGGCCAGGGTTGAGAACAATGCTGTGGTCTTTTGGCCTTTGATGTGCCGCTAATTTTGTAATGTGCCACTAATGTGATTTGTCACGAATCATTATGTCTTGGTGGGGTGAAATCGGTTACAAGGTTGTAAATCGATGTGGCCACTTAGAGCAGTCTGGCTGCAGATATTGTTTGAGATGTTTTTGCAGCAAGCCATCACCCAGCACACCCTAGCAACTGCATGGCAATGCGCTAACAACCACAGAGCAACACCCGAGTTTTGAATGTAACAATTGAATGTCCTGTCTTTCTCCCCTCAGGTCCATTTACAGATGTGGTGACCACCACCCTAAAGCTCGCTAATCCCACAGACAGAAATGTGTGCTTTAAAGTAAAGACGACTGCACCGCGCCGGTACTGCGTGCGGCCAAACAGCGGAGTGATTGATGCCGGAACCTCCATCAACGTCTCTGGTAAATGCATTTTTCTTAAAGTTAGCATTTTGATACCATTGATCACTCTTGATTTAAACTGTCAAAGCTTCCAAATGACGACAAGATACTGGGTTCACGATATGATACGCATCACAATATTTTGAAACTGAAATTCAAATAACAGATTTTTTTCCAAAACATTGGCAATTTTCAATAACTTTGTTGTACATACAACTTAACAAAGATTTAATTGAACCTTCTGCATGTAATTGAACAATTGACTAGGTGTCTGAACAATAAAACTGAATTTTAATTGGGATAGCTAAAACCTAAGAGAGAACAGGTAAAGCAGTAAAACAATTGTGACACCAGAATAAAAATATTCATGATTCTGAACCTGAAAATACAGAATTATACTATGCATAGCCTATAAATAATGTAAGCCCTTTTTTTACTGGTAAAATCAGACATTTGGCATTATCAGGACCCACAAATATTGCCCCATTGCATTACTATACATTATATTAGTAGTTTAGTGTAGTACTGTTACTGAAACTTTTTTTATAAGGACCTGGCATTAAAACTAACTCTGTATCGCGAGTCATATCATTTACATCTATGATGCATATTGTCGCATTTTTATTTCGATATATCGTTACATCCCTAATTGTTATTGAAGCAAGCTAAATAATATTTAATATTATTTATAATATTACATTTACATTCAATCATTTATCTGACGCTTTTGTCCAAAGCTACTTACAAATGAGAACAATAGAAGCAATCAAATCAACAAGAGGGCAACAATATGTATTGGTGTGTCAAGTCCCAGTTAGTCTAGCAAAAAGTTTGGTAATAAATAAATAGAGAAACAGAATAGAACAAGTAATGCTTATATTTTTGGGTCAGGTGTTGACGAAAAAGATGTCTTTAGCCGTTTTTTGAAAGCTGCTGAGATCGAGTTAGGCAGGTCATGCTACACCACCAGCAGGGAACAGACGAGGAAAAGGTCAGTGAGAGTGATTTTATGCCTCTTTGGGTTGGCACCACCAAGCGCCGTTCACTTTAAGTATAGTGGTGCAGAGCCAGTGGTTGTTCTGTAGGCAAACAGAGCCTTGAATTTGATGCAAGTGGCTATTGGCAGCCAGTGCAAACCGGTGAAGAGAGCTGTGATGTGCACTCTCTTCCACTCTTGCTCTGGCGTTCTGGATCAGTTGCAGAGGTTTGACAGTACATGCTGGAAGGCCTGACGAGAGAGCATTACAATAGTCCAGTCTGGATAGAACAAGAGCTTCGACAAGGAGTTGTGTAGCATGCTCCGTTAGGAAGGATCTAATCTTCCTATTGTTGTACAAGGCAAATCTGCAGGACCGGGACGTTGCAAAATGGTCTGTGAAGCTTAACTGATCAACAATCACAACTCCAAGATTCCTGGCTATACTGGAAGGAGTTATGGTTGATAAACCAGGTTGAATGGAGAGGTTGTGGTGAATTGAATTGAATAGAATTAAATAAGATATTAAATTGTTGATATTAAATAAGAATAAATATCAATTTACACATATATAAAAGTGTTATTGATATTACTACCTCTACTTTTCTTCGTAAGAACTTATTCTTACTATTTATTTGTATTTTTTATATATGTTTGTATTTATTTATTCTTTTCTTATATATATTAAGAATATTATTTATTGTTGTGCTTGCGTCATACTTAATAATAATAATAGTTATTTAAAATATTTATTTGTAATTTATTATTTATATTTGCCTGATTTATATTAATAATATTGTTTATTGTTTTGCTTGCTTTGTTATAAACTCAATAGAAATGCTCTCCATTTATGGGAACACATGCACTCCCTTCTTAACTTGTTAGAGTTTTTTTTTTTTTTTTTACTCTGTTGCAGATACAGAGCCATATATAGTTTCATTACATTAAATACAGTGCTATGAGTCATCTGCTCCAATTCTGTATATTGTGAAGGAACCACTTTGACGATGATGATGTCAATATTGTGTGTTATATGACAGATGTTTGTAATGAAACGCCATTAGCGGTCTTTCAAAGAACCAAGTGCTTAAAATTGCCGTTGCTATCAAATGATCATTAACTCTGTCAGGTAATTGATCAGTACGAGCAGTTGATTATTTAGGTCGATTTTAAAAGGGATTGTTTAATAGTGAGTCATATCGGATCTTTTCTGTCCATGTGTCACAGGAAATCTGTTTGTTTGAGCTTGACAGCTTGACTTGTATCCGTAGGCAGTTCTGTCTGTGTGGATCCAGATTCCCATCCCTGTGTTAGTGTTAGTGTTAGCCCTTTCTGCAGACACAGTTTTTTTCTGTACACGTCCTGGTTTCTGTATGTGTGAATTTACAGAGAATCAACTCATCAGCAACAGAGAGCGTTTGTTGTTTTTGAACGGAAGGTAAGGTGAGAATGAAGCAAAAACTGTTTAAAAAAATAAATAAATGAATCACCCCCAAAAAATGTGGTTTACTAAAACTATTAAAAATAATTTTCAGTAATTAAAAAAAGATGAAATAAAAAATAAATATTATATAAAAATAAAATAATTGGAAATGCTGCCTTGGCTAACTAACAGAAATAAAGCTTATGAGGAAGAACTAAAATGGCTAAAACCGAAATAAAAATAAATAAACCTATATACAAATACAAGTAAAATGAAACTAAAGGTAAATAAATAATGCAAAAATATTTGATTTGAAGGCACTTTTGTACACCGTGATTAGTGATAAAACGACCAGAAGCTATGATGTGAAATGAGCAAGAGTGACTGTTGACGGAGTGATGGGGCCGCCTCCATCAGTTCGGCTAAAATGAGAATATGTAACTTTATGCAAATGAGCTAATGAAGTCATTGGAGTACACTTGACCCGTCTCCTGTGAGATACTTTTGTGGGTAAAATGGAGACATTTATGTTACAGCACCTTTATATCCATTACCCAACTGCTCTTTGTGCATGACGGAAGCCTTTACATAACCAAGAGATAATTTTGTAACAACAGTGTTGGTCTCAACTCATAACTCAACTCCAGAGCCTCTTGGAATCTCACGGACAGTCTTAAATTGCTCTCATTATTCTGTTGATTCCAATGTTTTGGGATTTCTCTCCATGGTGAGATGCCTGGTCCCTGTCAATATGTACAATAGCTCTGACTGTATTTGAATCGATGACAAGCTAGTTTTTTAGTCTTCCCTGGCGTGTTATTCAGAAGGGATGCACAATGGATTTTGGTTAATGGGCTTTTGACTTTTATCCAGACCTATGAGACGAGCCTCACGTCTCCACCCGTTCTCAAACATCACTGTCTGTCTGGGTTGTGAAGTTTTTTTGTTGACAGTTCAAAAGCAATAACTTCAAGCTCTGAATCCCTCATGAATCTGTTATGATTGAAGAAACTTTACCTTTGTCAAGTTCTTTATACAGTACATGTGTCCACTTCCACATTGTCAGAAGACTACACACTTATTTAACACTCACATAGATTTCACCATTATGTAACGCTTCTATGCCTTTATTTGATCAGCAACAACATTTCTTTAGCTGCACTAAGTGAAGTGACTCCAATTTAAAGATATATTTGTGGTTACCGATAATAGTGATTGTGACAATCTGCAAGTTAACAGAAAATAGGTTGACTTTTGTTTAGTTTTAATGTTTTTTTCTTAAACATCTCTTCAAGTCTTCATTTTTTATAATTCCATCCATCCATACATCAATTCAAACATTATGAAGAGATCAGTAATTGGGATTTTTGACATGATATTATTGCAAGGTGGAGACACCAGTAAACTTCATGCTAAATATGGTTTATTATGGTTAATCACTTAGTGTTTATAATCCTGTCATGATCAAATCAAATTACTTGTTGATTATACTTATTAATACCCTGTCATGACTCAGAACCTTTGCTTTGGAACTTAGTAAGTTGAGTATGTCTCTTTAAACCATTAGTGTTGTCTGGATTTCCTCACATTTTCTCCCTCTCTCCATTTAGACTTCATAGTTTTTGCCGATGGGATTCTGAGGTCATGTTTCATAATTAATGGAGTTGCTCTGCTTTTTATCTCCAGGGATCCAGTTAATTAGGCAGAGGAATGATTGTCAGGTGTTTTGTTTTCTGCAGTTGTCCCGCCCCCAGACAGGCCACAGCCCTGAAGATGACCACTCATGTTGTGACCACACTGATTAGAAATAGTTCTCTTAAGAATACAAGAAAGAACAGTATGTGCAGACAGCTCATAAGATTTTGTGTAAAAGACTGAGATTGTGCCAAATATGGTTGCTTTCAAAACAAAAAAGGAGATCCAAAAAAAGACCTTTCTGTACATGAACAATCCTTGTTTTTCTACATTGCACATTAGAGATATCTGATCAAAAGTATGCATGCCTGAGAGCGTAAATTAGTTAATATTTTGTAATATTATCAGGTCAATCACATAAATGGCTAAATATAATCAAATTCATTTTCACTATTCTGTTTCTTGTACATTTCCAACCGTCTTCGGACTATTATTTTCCATGTTCTGCGAATTTAAGCATCACATAAAGATGTTCTAGAAATCATGCTCTTGTGCTTTAATAATTATTAAATCACTGCCTTTCTCTTGTTGGATTGTGTCAGTAGTGATCCGCCAGAACAAACTGTCAATCACAGTCAGCATGGAGCCGCCCATTTTATTGTTCAAGACATTAACACTTAATTCTTAGACTATAAAGTCTCTGGCTTTGTTTAGCAAAATAAATGTTTTTTTATCACATTCAACTCACATCTGTTTATTTGATTGCAGTTTGAACATCGAAAAATTGTTAATTCACATTCGCACAACACTGTTTACCACAAACTTTTATGCATTTTGGCCATTCATTTACACAACACGACATCGCCAACTACCGGCCTGGCAGCATAATACAGCGTTTTTATTCATGTTCGTAGATTTGTGTGAACGAGGATCGTTTAGCATTGTTGTTGTCTGTACGCTAACATTTTTAAAAAAAAGCAACGTAAAAACGTTTTCGTTTTCAGTACATCGTTGTCATGTAAACTCGCCCTCGGTCTAAAAAGTAGTTGTTGTTTTTTTTAATTTGTGATGCAATGTGTATATAACGTCATACACCGTGGGCGGTAGCATCTATTGTTGTTTTCATTACTGTGACAATTGATAAACACTACCATTAAAACATTTAAAGTCTCTTATGCTCAGATTGCTCACCAAGGCTGCATTTATTTGATTAAAAATACAGTAAATACAGTAGTATTGTGAAATATTATGGTAACATTTTTCAATAAGGTTTCGTTTAACTTAGTTAACTACTTTAGTTAACATGAACTAACAATGAACAATACTTCTACAGCATTTATTAATCTAAGTTAATGTTAATCTCAACATTTACTAATCAGAAGTTGTATCTGTTAACATAAGTTAATGCACTGTGATCTAACATGAACAAAGGTTAAGTAATGCATTAACTAATGTTAATAAATGAGACCTTATTGTAAAGTGTTATTAAAATTTAAAATAAATGATTTCTATTCTAATTGTAATATATTTTAAAATGTCATTTATTCCTGTGATGGGAAAGCTGAATGGTGTGAACTTGAACTGATACTTTGACTTTCTCCACATCTTGCGTCAAGGATAGCAACAGCTACGGGTGTGAAATCTGAATATTTGCACAGTGCACATTTCTTTTAGTAATATTACTAATGTGAACTGTACAAATAAAGTCATGTCAAGACTCATTTAATCCCTCTTCCTCTGTTGATGCGTTTAAAAATACCCCATTGATGCTGCTAGTGAAATACCGGTCTAGTGCAGTCGGAAAGATTGGCACTGACAAAACAGGACATTCCCAATCTGTCTCAGCCGTCTGTTTTCAGTTTGCAATATCGACGGCGCTTGATTGCCATAGTGGCACACAAAACCAAAGTGAGGTTTTTTAACTCGCGGGGGAGTTGGCGTGCACCTTCTGTGAGCTCGGCAGTAGTAGCCACATCTAAGAGGGCCTTTGAAATTAAGAGATCATTTGTTTTTAATGAAACTTAGCAGCAGTTTTCCTAAATCATGCACACATTCACTCCAATGTAAAAAAAAAAGACCCTTTTGAATCCGAATGGTGTCTTTTAAAAAGGGTGATGGGGGTGAAATCGGCTTTCAATACTGATTTCAATCGTGCCAGAGCCCTCGCACGCCAGGCATAAGAAAGTGATCATTGTAAATCATGGTAACTGCTCTAAATTAGCTTTTGCTCGTTGGAATGACATCAAATAACATGGCCTTCTTTGGATGGTGCTGATGGGGTTGCAGACGTGAACTTCCTCACACTAACACCTGGTTTGAGTTAAAGGCTGAATGTGTTATTATTAACGTGAAAAACACTGTTTAGGAGCTGTAAGAAAAATTGGCCTTCTGGGTCACTTAAGTTTTATCAGCAACGTTTGTAGTGGGATTATATGAAATGAATAGCTAAGTCTTTTTGTTTTTCTGAGTAATGTCATTTTGTGAAACATGGATGTTTTACACCCAAATATTTTATCACATTTTTTACTAAAGCCAGATTTACTAAACAGGGCCGATTAGCGTGAGAGCGCAATTCCCAAAAAACTCAGCTGGGAGTGGAAAGTTCTGCATGTGATCTACTGAAGACTTGCAAAGTAAAGAACACAGACGCAGCCGGATCATTTCCAGAATGACCATCGCAAATTAGCTGCTGGTTTAAGACATGCTTTTAAGGCGGTAAACAATGCCGCGATAAGACAGTAAACTGACTAGCGCAAACCTTAGAAAATCACCTTGCATGATTCATTTAGATACTCTCCTCCCATAAATTTTGCATCTGAAAAGAATATTCCTACAAATGCATATGCAATAAGGTCAGCCGCAAAAATGACTGTCCACGCCTTTTCACCGCTAATCTTTCCACTGCGTGTCTTTAGTAAATCCTGACAGTAGTTTTTTTAACGCCAAAATAGGGTTTGCGCTGGCGCAAGCTGTTAATAAATCTGGCCCTTGGACTGTTGAGAAACCTATCTGCTAGAAATTTTATTAATTGTATAGTTTTTTTATTCCTTAAAAGTCAAAAAATGATGTTGGAGCCATTGTGGCCTAGCACTTGGTGCTCAAGTAGGCATCTCAGGTTCAAATCTGGCTCAGATCATTTCCGATCAGGTTCCTTTTTCTTCCCCCCCAACATTGCCTGTCCTCTTATGCCCATTCTGCCCATTCAAATGAGGAAAACGCTAAAGATATTGTTTAATGTGTACTGTATGTTCTTGTGTTTGTCTTACAGTGATGCTGCAACCGTTCGATTATGATCCGAATGAGAAAAGCAAACACAAGTTCATGGTACAGTCTCTGCTGGCCCCACCTGACATGACCGACACTGAGGGAGTGGTGAGTACTGGTCCATGCCACCTGCTTTCGGAAAGGTTTATACTCCCTTGTTCAAGACCGTTTTTTCTTGGGTGCATTTTCTCCTTTTTTTAGTAACACTATCTATGAAGTCTGTATATATATATATATATATTATTAAACCATTCTTGATGTCTTATATGTGGGGTCCAAAATGTATATTTTCATTTCAGTTTTGATAATGAGAATTTAAACTTTAATTTATTTTATTTCAGTTAGTTGCCAAGGCAGCATTTCTTGTTTTTCATCTGATAATTATATTTTATTTTATTTCAGCTTTATTTCAATAATAAATAAATAAAAGTTGACAATAACAACACAAAACAAAAGTCTTTTGCATTATTTTTTAAGTTTTTCAATATACAGACTTCATCAAAAGTGTGCTACAACGCCATTAAGCAGTAATATTGTGATTAACCCCGAGCATAGATCAACAATATATGATACAAAGGGGTGTGAGTTTGCTGTTCAAGAAATACACACAATTGTCACATAACCCCAGTGTTTGACAGGGTCCAAGAGCAAGATCCAAATCTCTTGGTTGTTCATGACTCTCTCTGAGCTTTCTGAAATAGATCATACTGAACATCTGTGTGCATGAGCAGATGTAATGGTAAATAGGTTATGAAAATGTCAGGAAGGAGAAGCGGAAAGAAAATGTAGAGCAGAGATCTGGCTACTAATTCACTGTCCTGAACTATTTCCACTATTCCTTGTTGATGGCTCCAAAACTTAACTCCAAAACCGAGGGAGCTGCCTCACTGTCTGCTGTCTTCATGGCCAGATACCTTTTTAAGATCCGAGACCTCGCAGATGACTGCTTTGAAACTCTCTTCATGGGCAACTTATTAATGCATAACTTCCTCAATTGGCTACGGTGGCATGTGGCTGGGCTAATGGATCAATGCTGTTATGCATGAGAAATACAAAGCACACAAATTTGAGTAAATTGTGCATTTTTAATTGTTCAGAGATTTTCTAGCAATACTTTTTATCATCTACATTTCTCTGGGGAAATCTTCCTATGATGCCTAAAAATGTTGCGTATGTAAGCAGGGCGCTAGGGTTTGTAAACGGCTCATGAGGTGTTTATTTGGTGTATAATCAAATGTAGGGTCTTGTTTACACATGTTGTTGTTCTCTCCTGCAGTGGAAGGACGCCAAGCCCGAGGATCTGATGGACTCCAAGCTGAGATGTGTCTTTGATATGCCCGCTGAAAATGAGAAAACAGTGAGTGAATGGATTTTCATGTTTTTCCTCATGTTAGCTCTGAGCTGTAGGCAGTGTGTGAAATGGCAGCAGGCATGACTACATTCATGTTACCCTCTCCTAAAACTATTAAGCAAAACAGATTCTTGGCTCTTTTATGGATTCATTTGCTTATGATTGTGTCTGTGTGTGTGAACCTGATTTTGGCCACAGCATGAAATGGAAAGCAATAAGATATCCGCCAGTCTCTCAAAGTCGGAATCATCCACATTGTCTATGAAGTCCATGGCCTCCAGTCTGGATGATGGAGAGGTCAAGAAGATCATGGAGGAATGTAAAAGACTGCAGACGGAGGTGCAGCGGCTACGAGAGGAGAACAAACAGATCAGGGTGAGTGTTTGCTATTTGCATTCTCATAAATATCATTGTCAGCAATAGTCATAAATATTTTAAAACATTAGATACAGTTTTGCAATTTTCTTTTAAACTCATGCATTAAAAATACATTTTATACAATACCGTTCAGAATTTTGGGCTCAGAATTTTGGGCTCAATATTTTTAAATATATAATTTTATTCTTGTCATGACCAAGCTGAATTTTCAGCATCATTTCTCCAGTATTCAGTGTCACATGATCCTTTAGAAATCATTATAATATATATTTAAACATTCGCCCTAACATTCATACAAGTAGTAGCCTAATGTTAGCCACTTTACATGCCCACTCGCTCTAACGCTAACCTAAACGCTAACCTGCTCTATTATTAGGCACATATCCAAGTGCTTGTTCTGAGTGTGGAAGCTAAATTAGTACCGCGCTTAGTACAAACTCTCTCAAAAGTCGCATCCACTATCCTCTTTGCAGCCGACTCAGAAATCACTAATCTATGAATAAATTAAGATGTTCAGATAGTCTTTAGATAGTTTTTTCTGATACATTCATAATCATTATTTTTGTCGGTGCGCTGCAGCAAGCTTTGTGTACGTTCGAGCGCTTAATTCATATTTTAAATTAATATTATGGTTTATTATTTCTCTGCAATGTAGAACAATGTTATAAGCATGTGCATGTGTTCTATACGTGCACGTCCTACAGCATGTTCCCTGTGTGCATACCAATGTGTTTGCATACCACTGCGCAGGTTGTTCACGCAGACATAAGTCATCAGCGCGTTCACGTACGCTGTGCACACAGAGCGAGAATGGCAGGCAAGCAGCAACAACCTAACTGTCCTTCTGAACCGATTCATCAGAGCTAAGCAGACTCTCATTGTGGAAACCCTGTCATACAAGAAATATTCTTACTGACAAGTTTTGCTTGCTAAACAAACCGAAAACTTGCTGTTTTTTCTGTTTTTAAGAATTTGTTTACGTTTGGTGTTGTGTTACTAACTGTACTATAAAGTTTTCTCAACGGTGAATGACACATGATATTGGTATTGCAGTAACGTTGTCTGCGGTCTTCTTGGCTGTGCGTGTTCATGCTTTCAGGAGGCGTGGCTTTGGACGGCGATTTGCAGGGAGGGTGGGACGTACGCTTTTACTGCTATCAGGCTAAAGTTAGCATTTTCCCAGATGTCCTACAGCACCTTTAAGTTATTAAAATAATATCCTAAACGTCAGACTAGTCAAGTAATGGCTCAAATGAGTAACTAGTCGACTAAAAAAAAATCTTTAGTCAGTGAGCCTATATATATATAATACAATTCTTTACTGTTAATACTTAACTGTTTTCAATTTAATGCATTCTTGCTGAATAGAAGTTTCTTTAAAAGAAGATTTAACAGTAGTGTACATAATTCAAAGCGGTAATCTCTTGAATTTAGAGGAAGTATAACAACTTAATACTGTAAATGAGAGGAAATTATATGTGGATTCTACTCACAATATTTGTGAGTAGAAATCCACATATAATTTCCTCTCATTTACAGTATTAAGTTGTTATACTTCATCTAAAATCAAGAGATTACCGCTTTGAATTATGTACACTACTGTTAAATCTTCTTTTAAAGAAACTTCTATTCAGCAAGAATGCAAGAATTTTGGTCAATTCTTGTGTGGTCACTTCATTTGATTTAGAGGCAATGAAAAAGATGCTCAAATTACCAATAGACTGAAACAAAATAAAAAGGTTGAAAGTGGAATCTAAGGGTGCGCTTATTTAAATACTGTCTTAAATTAGAGCGATCAGTAATTTTGTATTCGTTTCAAAGCATTTATATCATTCATTTATATAAATTTCTTTCCACTGATGTCCTCTTAAAATGTTTTTTTTTATGTGCCTTTTTGACCTATTTGAGTTGTTCATGAAAAATAATTTTAGAATAAAAATGTTCTGCTGTACCTTTAAGAAACACTTGAAATGAGCAACGTTAGATTTATATCCATCACCCTGCTCTCTCTCGATATCTGTCTTTGAGCCATACTGAATGACCACCGCATTACTTTAGCTCTCTTCCACCATATTTTTCAAATTTGTTACGGCCACAGGATGTTAAGCATATCGAGAGTCGGAACTGAAGATAACCTGCCCTTACGCATCAGTTGCAGCTGGGGACCATTACCGCTGCTTGTTTAATGAGACGCGTGCTGGGCCATAAGCGCTTTTCATAACTCTCAAGATTATTTCTGTCATCTAACTGTCTTTATCTTTATCTCTCTCTTCCACTTCCCCAGCAGGAAGATGATGGTCTGCGGATGAGGAAGAGCACAGTAATGTCCGCTCCGCACTCCTCTTCAGCGATGAGAGTGAAGGAGGAGGGGCTGAGCACCAGGGTGATCGCTCTAATTGTGCTGTTTTTTGTTGTGGGTGTCATCATCGGCAAGTTGGCCTTGTAAAATCCAAGAGGAGAGTGTTACAAGCATGCATTGCGGATGAAACAAAAACAAAACAGACAAGTAACCAATGCAGAATTCGTTTAATCCGAATGCCATATCATTGGGGTAGTTTTGGATTAGCGAGGTGTGTAAAATTAATAAAGAGATCAAGATATTTCATCATGTTATGTGCAAAGAAATAAATTCAGAAAAAAAAAATTAATAATAGTAATCTGACACAGCTCTTGCCTCAAAATTGTGAAATCATTCTGGCCCCTCTTCCTAATTATTTCTGATGCAAGTTCAAATATATCATAGATTTTAACCACTAAAATGTTGTAGGGATTTTCTAACACCAGATGTGCGACTGAGTTGTGCTAGAGTGAATGTTGTTTATCACTTTTTTTCTTTCTTTTTTTTTTCAATGGGTCAGAAGCAAATTGAATCTGTATACAAATGCTAAACATCTTTGAAAAGTGTCACGTGTGCATTTAATTTGTGCATACCCAAACATCCTGCATTAAAGCAGCAGTTCACTGAAGTTTAGCCTGTATATTTTCAATCATTCTCCAGGTAAATGATTAAAAAAAAAGCCTTCTAGTATCTTCCCCAGTCACACTGTTGTTGAAATAACGCGTTTTATATCTTCCATCCACTTCCGTTCAGTCCAGAAGATATGTTTGAGTACCAACAAGTACTATGATTCAACATATATTTCCTCGACAAATCAGATAACGTGCAGTTTTGCAAGAATATATAATGTCGTCACTAATTACCCACATTCTTTCGTTAAAAGACCATCACCGTTTCATGCCAATTTAATGTTCACTTGCAAACACCCGCCAATCCACTTTCAAGACAAAACCACCACGAAGTCTGGCTTTTAAGTGGCTTTGGCAATGCGTTTTGACTATTAGGTTTTGTCTTGTTTTCAGACATCTTCAATCAACAGGAAAGAAATTGACTGTTAGTGAGTGATATTTCAAACTGCTGTTACTGGGGAAGTGTTGGTAAAATCCTTTGGCCATTCACCTAGTAATTTGCTCCAAAAACCATTTGAAACAATATTTCTCTGAAACCAACACTTCCGATGATGCTTTGCACAAACCGATTTCCCTGTCAGGAACAGAATAGGTTTTTCACCTTTCTTTATTATTGTTTTCTTTTTGGTAAGGGATATGTGCTTGAATGCATGGCTCTGTTTAGAGCAAAAAATACTTTATATTTTATTAAGCTGCTCCATAGGTGAAATCTCCTTTTCAGGCCCTTTTAGCACACCTCTGTTTCCATTTCGCTGCCTGTCGACCTGAGTTAATTTATTGATCAAGTCATTATTATATACAATAATAGTGCAGCTGCTAAGCGTAATATCTGATGCACCATGTACATGCAACTGGTTGAAGGTCTCTCTCCCTATGAACTTTCTATCTGAAGATGCCATGAGGAGAGTTCACCATCAGGTCCATTAACACTGACCCCCCTCTCACTTTACCCCTTCAAAAAAGAACAAACAAAAAAGTAGTTAAAGGAATAGTAAATCCAGGCTTTAACATTTTATAATCATTTACTCATCTTCACGTTGTTCCAACCCCAAATGTTTTCCTTCTGTGAAACAAGATGTTAGGAAGAGCTGCTCTTTTCCATACATGATTTACTGTATGTTGCTGTGAAAAAGGACAAAAATAGTCATGGAACTATCATAAAGCTAGTCCAAAGATCTTTAACACTAATTCTGAGGCCATACGAATAGATTTGTGTTAGAGATGGACTGAATTTGTTCATTGCGGTTGGCATACAATTTGATATGCTTCAGATTTTGCATATGGTATGATATGTAAATGAGATTTGGCATAAGAATTGATATTTGATTGCGGTTATGAGTGACAAACGGTTTAGCCGGTTGGCCCGTTTTCCACACAAAGCTATTGCATGGCTTTAGAACATGGTACACAAGTTGTATGGTGATTTTTGTCCTTTTTGGATCTTTTCAGGATCAATCCCCATCCGCGTTTATGGGAAAGAGCAGCTCGGACAATCTGCATAGCGTCTCATTTTGGAGAAAGTAATTAATGAGGTCGTAACAACATGATGAGGGAGTAAACAGTGATGAAATGTTTATTCTTGAGGGCAACTATTCTTTTAAAAACTGACACATGTGAGTATTGTAACCTGTATTTTAGCCATGCCAAGCCTACACCTCATTTCCAGATAAATGCATGGCTTCGATATGCCTCGTCTGTGGTCTGAAATGTACACAACACTGGTTTATCTCGCAGCATAAGGCTTTAAAAAAACACTCCTGACATTTCTGCACTGTTTTCCTGAGCCCTCTGTTTCTTTGCTGTCCTCTGATGTTAATTTAGTCGTTTGTTTGGATTTAAGTTATGAATAAAACTTTTATTGCACAGAACTGTTTATATTAAAAATGCACTACATATAAAGAATGTCATCTTCCCATGCACAACGGTCTGGTCTTTGTGAAATAACCGAAATGACACCCGAAAAGAGACTCTTCCTACAGGGGACCATTTTGTGACCTGATGTGTATTTGTGTCATAGTTTGGTGTTGTGGGGGTGTCTTTTTCTTTAATGTTTCTCTTCTACCCCCCTCCTTGAGACGCTTTGGTTTCAGTTAATCATCTTATTGCTAAATATTGGATTTCTAAGAACAGAGGAGCTTACGATATTGACAAACGGCAAAACTTTGCTTTGTGAGTAACTTGTGGAGACATTCAGGGTATAGGGGTTTTTGGACTGCAGTTTATGTATAGTTCACCAAGGAGTATGATTGCCATGGAGAGGGAGGGATTTGGGGGCCTATCAGCCAAATCAGCTGGCTCATAATTAAAGGAAAACCTTATTATAGTGCCCCAAACCTTCACATACGATGTAAACATGAAGGTGACCGTTTTGTATGTATATAAATAAATAAATAAATAATGAGTCTAAGATGAAAATCAAGGTTGATATTCCTAGTCGAGTAGTCTATAATGGTATATAAAGAAACCCCAACTTTGTTGGACTATGTAGCATCTTAATAAATTAAATCAATAAAGCCCCAGACCAAAACTTTGTGTTGTTTGTTCTTTTGTCCAGTTTTCATTGTCTGCTTTATGCATTTTCTATGTATTGTGAATTGTGTGTCTGATATAAATTTGAATGCTTATTAATCTTTTGATAGTTGATCAAGTGATTGGATTTCCTGATTGAATTTTGCAGATATTTCTATGCAACTGCCTTGTAAGTGACTTTTCATGTGACTGAAATTCCACACTATAGTCTACCCTTTTTTTTAAGAGTTTTGATTTTCACTTTCTCAAACATTATGGTTGAGGTGAAAAACTAGTAAACCTCTATTATAGACCTGTGACATCATTAAACTCCACCATTGGCTCTACCGCAGTGCTTTTAATGTTAACTTTAAAAAGTTATTTTACCCACAAATAGATCTACAACATGTTCAAGTTACAGAAAATGACAGGACATCTGCACAAATTTATACATAACTTGCAAAAAATAATGTATTAAAAAAAAAAAGTTAGGAAGTCTGTTCCAGCTATACCTTTTTTGAATTTTAGACATTTGGCCTTGCAGGAATGTGGCCCTTGATTTGGTCTTTGCTATAAAACTGTATTATGCTATGCCCCTTTTTTATATATACATTTTGGGGGGAAATACAGAGCAGATGTTGGTCTGCAGTCATAAACAATTAGAGACATAACAACAAACATAATTGCATTACATGCATAACTAGCTTTTTTTTTAAGTATTAAGTTTTTTGTTTCAAGTTAACCACATTTTGCTATACATTAGATGCTGTTGTTTTCAGTTTGCAAAGTTTACTTTTTTTAAAGGAGTTTTAAACTAAATGGTGATTGAGTTGTTTAGCCAAAACATGTTGAAATTGCATGCTATATATATATATATAGCATATATAGCATTATATATAGCATATATAACATATATTAGGGCTGTCAAATGATTAATCGTGATTAATCACATCCAAAATAAAAGGTTTTTTTTACATAATATATGTGGGTGCACTGTGTATAATTATGTTGTATATATATAAATACACACACATGCATGTATATTTAAGAAAAAAATATTATTTATATATAAAATATTTATATTTATATATAATATAAATTATATATAAATCTATATACAGCATATACATGAAAATATTCTTAAATATATACAAGCATGTGTGTGTATTTATATATATAAAATAATTAGACACACACATATATATATATATATATGCCTTTAATGAGTTTATTCTCAAGATTGTATTTCGATTTTTTTATATACATTTTTTTTTATTAGCTTTAAAGGGGACCAATTATGCCCTTTTTTACAAGATGCAATATAAGTCTGAAGTGTCCCCAGAATGTGTCTGTGAAGTATAAGCTCAAAATACAGATAATTTATTATAGCATGTTGTTAATGCCCTCAGTGGATGGAGAAACATGCTGTTTTCGTGCATGTATCTTTAAATGCAAATGAGCTGCTGCTGCCCATCCTGCTTTCCAGAAGAGGGCGGAGCCTTTACAGCTCGTGCCTCCGATACTCTGCCAAAAAACTAAAACATCTGTTTGGTTTTGATTAGAGCCATCTCTATGGCTCTGGTTTTGATTATCATCTTTATCGCGGTCACGCTCACGTGACAATGCAGTTCTTCATCATCATGAATTCTGAGTCGCACAGAGAGCTGGATATCAGACGGCGCCTCCTGTGAGTAATAAACTTAAGTTCTCTTTCACGTCTTATTGTGCTTAAACTGTCAAATACACAGAAGGTTATGTCAAACACAAAGTTCACATAAACACAGTAGGTTATGTCGGTGAACGTAAACAGCAAGTAAAGAAATCGCATGTGTATCTGAGAATTAAAATGAAAGCAGCGTAATATACAGTACCTACTGCTATGAATCAAACGAAAAAAGAAAAACAGAAATTCACTCACTGCTCTTGATTGAATTACTTTAGCAGATTTAAAAAGAATACATTTCTTAGTTAAATGCTGCTGTTAAATGCTCTGGCGAGGAGATACACATGGTGGACTGTGTACAGATCACAGGACGGGTTCGTCAGCAGTCGTGGACAGGGTCTGCAATGTGACATCATATTGCATAGAAACTGCAAACAGCTTATTCTGATTTACATGATGTACTAAAAATTAAAACAAAAAAATCTTTGTACTAATGGCAACATTATCAAAACTATCCCGTTCGAATTGAAAACGACAAAATACCTTCATTATGCTCCTATTTTTTTTACAGTCTATGATTATGCTGCCAGGCCAGTGGTCAGCATGTTACTTTGTAAAGAAACACTGTGCACGTGCATTCTTTTACAGAGCACGTGCCAAATGCGCATGCCTATACGCTGATTTCACGCAGCCGCCATTTTGAAATCGAAAGCGAGGCTCCGGTGGGAAGAACCCTGGAAGTACAGATAGACAACAATGCCTTGGACTACCAACCTGAAGCTGCTGCTGCGATTTACACTATTGGATGTTAATATCCAATATAGGATA